GACAAAATGGCCTCTGAAATGACTTCCAACTCTGAAATTCTGTGATTCTGTGACTTTTCAATGAGCTGGCAAATTTAATGAGTGCTTTCCATGTGCCCAACACTTTTGTAGGTGCTATATCACACAGAAAAAGGAAATATAGGACATATTCCCTACCTTCCAAAACCTTATTATGTAGTGGGGAGGTAAGATGACATGCGTGAAATAGTAAGTGCTAGAATGGATGGCGACGATTGTTGTTGTTTGTCCTTCATTCTCGAAGAGGACCATGACATCAGCAAGATGATGAAAATGAATTGGATTTAAGTGAGAGAAGGCTGTGCAAGGTCGCCAGCCTCACATTCTCCTCCATAGCCATCTGGGTCCAGTGGAGATGACCCCCAATGCAGTAGGGGACCTTGGCCTTCTTGAGCTAAGGTCTTTCTGAGTTCTCACTTTCACTGAGGCAATGCCCATTCAGTGATTAAAGGTGGTTAAGAAATGAACCAAGGAATGGCCCCTTTTAACTAAACAAACAAACAAAATAAAATGTGTCTGGGAGGGGAAGACCCTCAGGGTTTCTGGCCTAAACTGAAGCAATTACTACTTACTTTCACTAAGTAAGAGGCCCAAAACAACAACCACTAAGTGGTGCTTGGGTTGGGACCTATTGTTGGCCAATCAATGAGAGCCAGAGTGAATTGGGTTTAAGGCATGGTCTTTAAGAAAGAAACCTAGCCAGTAAACCCCAAGATATCTAGTTAGGTTTCAGCGATCAAAATTTACATTCTTTTGGGCAGAGCACCCTCAGGTCAGGGCATGATACCCCATGTGGACAGAGGGAAAGGAAGGAGGGGAAAGGGAGAGGAGAGGAAGGAACTGAGTGGCCCAACTGCAACTGGTCAGTTGGGTCCCCAGTGGTGCAGCTTGGACTGCTCACAGGCTGTTGTTCGTCCTTCTTTCTCAAAGAGGACCTTGACATCGGGGAGGTGATGCCATGATGTGCAAATGAATTGGTTCTAAGTGAGGTGAGGATGTGCCAAGTCACCAGCCTCACTTTCTCCACCAGACCCATCTGTGCCCAGTGGCAAGATATTGACCAGGAAGAGTGGAAATGGTCCCAAGGTACAGATTATAAGCAATATATGAAGCCAAAGCTAGAGTAGATGCGAAAAGCTTCATGAAGAAGGTGGTACTTAAGCTCGACTTAAAGAGAAAAAAGGTTAGACTATGTGGAGGGAAGCCTGTTCCAGGCCAGAGGAAATTTTTATATTTTCTTTTTTCCCTAAGAATTTAAGTCACTTTTATTACTCGATCTATCATCAGGATAATCTATAATGAAAGGAATTTGACCTTTTGGTCACCTATGGCTTTCTAAGATGGTAGACTTGATAACTTTTAAATGGGGCATAGCGAAAATAAGTTTCAGAGCCCTCAATGTTAGCTAATGTGTTTCTCAATTTAAATTATACACAAAAGTAAATCCATAACTGTAATTAATATTTAACCTAGACTTCATTTATTTTAAAATATTTAGGTAAAATTACAAAAAGGAGAAATTGGCTAGTTAACTAACTCAGCCATGAGGTTAGCTGGGTGGAGCAGTCGATAGAGTACCACCGGAGGACTTGAGTTCAAATATGCCCCAGACACATAACACTCTCTAGCTTTGTGACTCTGAGCAAGTCACTTAAACCCGATTGCCTCACCAAAAAGAAAAAAAAATCTAAAAAAAAATAACTCAGCCAGAAAGAAATTTCACTTTTTAAATGTGGCCCATAGCCTTTTAACTACAAACCTAGGAGACTGCTTAGCCTTTGATCACCTGTTTGATTTGTTGGTAGAACTACAAGCAGTCCCCTCAAACAGGTATCTCTTTATTTTCAGAAAACTTAATGTTATTTTTAAATTTCTGCCAAATGTTAACTTATTTTATTTTATTTTATTTTTCTTAAGTCACTTGGCATATATTGCATTGTTATCCCATGACTTGAGGCTATGAAATTGGCTCACATGGGTTCATTTCCTGTGGTTTATGCAACTTCTTATTTTTTTTAAGTAAGTGAATATTTTAGATATTCTAAAAAACACACCATGGCACATATTCCAGCAGACTTCAATATTTCAAGGATATATAATTTCATCAGTGTAGGTTCCCCCCAGTGACAGATTGCAGCCCCTTCCTGACTTTGATAGATAATAATAGCATTTATGTAGAGCTTTAAGGTTTACAAAGTTCTTTACATATTTTATCTCATTTGATCCTGCTAACAAATCCTATGATGTAGGTTCTATTCTTATCCCCATTTTACAGATGAGGAAACAGAGACTGAAAGAGATCAGATGACTTGTCCAAGGTCACACAGCTAGTAACTGACTGAGACTGGATTTGAGCTCAGGTCTTCCTGACTCCCAAGTCCAACATTTTATCGGCTTTGCCACCTAGCTCCTTGGGGCTCTTAAACTTTTTTCACTTGAGACCCCTTCAATCACTTTTTAAACTGTGGGTCTCAACCCCATGTGGATTGCTGGACTCTAGATGGTCTTTCAGAGTTGCAGTGTCCAAAAACTTTATCACCCCAAGGCCAACTTGGTGATGAGCCAGCCTTCTAGACTTGAGCTAAATTGATTCTTAAACCACAGACACACATTCTACTACTGGGCACTTATTTAAAGCCATTCCATCTTAGAGGGCAGGTAGGTGGTACAGGGGATAGAGTGCCAGGTCTGCAGTCAGAAAGACTCCTCTTCCCAAGTTCAAATCCAGCCTCAGACACTTACTAGCTGTGTGAGCCTGGGCAAGTCACTTAACTCTGTTTACCTCAGTTTCCTCACATGTGAAATGAGCTGAAGAAGGAAATGGCAAACCATTCCAGTGTCTTTGCCAAGAAAACCCCAAATGGGATCACAAAGAGTCAGACACAACTCAACTTTAAGACACTGTTTGGGGTCATGAAGAGTTAGATATGACTGAACAACAAGAAGTCTAGAATGGACTTTAGGCTGGAAAAATACTTATTTCTTAATATTTTCATGTGAACTAAAAAGGTTTTAATATGCTTCCACAAGTCTTTCCAGTATCTTTGCCAAGAAAACCCCAAATGGGGTCACAGAGAGTCACGTCTGAAATGACTGAACAACAGCGTCTTGGTTAGACTGGCTAAAGCCTGTGCTCCACTGGACCGGCCCTCCAAGGGTCACCTCCACACCACCGTGAGTCACCACAGTAGTACTTAGCAGACAACCGTACTCTCTATCCAATACAGTAAGGCCAGTTTGACCCTCAAATAAGAGAGGTCCTGTTGACTCTGTTCTTAGATAGTAGACTTCCAAAAGATTGTAGAATGTGATGCCTTTAAGTAGTGACCTGGGAGGTATTCAAGTTGATGACGCTGAAGGGGCCATCTGTTAGGGCTGTAAGAGGGGATTACATGCTGAATGAGATTAAGGCCTCTGAGCTCCCTTCCAGCTTCTTCTGAAGCTGTACCTTCCTCCAGCTTTAGGATGGTACAGGCTGGTAAATTTAGAGCCAGAAGAGACAGGCCCCTAGGGGTGACTGGGGTGCCAAAGGTCCCAGGATGGCAGAGCTTGGATTGGAACCCAGGTCATCTGACCTTGAACCCAGCAAGCTTCCTTTCCATGGAATTAGGCTACTGTGGTTCCACATTAGTAACTTCTCTCTGCTTGAAATTTTAACTACACTGCATGCAGTGTCAAACTTCTCTGGTGTGTTGGTTAGTTTCACTTAACTTCCCCCGCCCCCCTTTTTTTATTTGTGAAAAAAGACAATTCTCTGGGAGGGAAGGGAAGAAAGAGAGAAGGGATACATTGGGAAATGTAGATGATGTGAAAACAAAAGCTATAAATAAATTGAATTTTAACTATTTAAAAAGGCTATTAGATCTCTCCTCCGCAAGTTCTGCTTCCATTTCATACCTGTCAAGCTAGACTGCACCAGATAGGAAAGCCTATAATTTCCTCTGCCCCCAACGGTACATAATGCCTGTCTCCAAACACCCATCCCACAAAGAAACACCGTGGTGTGAGCTGATGCCAGAGGGCTGAAGGTGTTTTGTCTTAGACAGGAGTTTGGACTTGGTGATTTTGTGGAGGAAATGGTTAAAACTGTGTGCTATGAGTTTGGTGGGGAAACATCTCCCTAGAAAAAGCAGCATTAGAGGTCAAAGAAAAGGAACCTGCCGGGTTGTGTAAAGATAGCTCCCAGCACATTCTCTTCTGAGTCTGCCTTAAAAGAGACCTTTGGTCACTATCTTGGAGGCCTAGCCCCAGCAAAATTGGTTTGGTGTGATAAATTACAGAGAAACATCTCTACCAGATAAGCCAGCTCTTGGGCAACAAGATATATATACATCCCTCTGTTCTTCGAGTTGCTAGTCACCTGCCCAGCAGCTGATGCTAAATACACCTTTTCTCTTCTAGCTGGGTCTCTTGATTTACCGATCTCCAGGTGGGAGGAATTAATCTCTAGGAGTATCTTAGACTCTCTGGGTTGAGGAATTCCACTACAATTTGTAGGCCCTTTCCCTCCCTAAATCCCTAAATCCCAAGTAGGGTTTATAATTTGATAAGGTTCCCCCAAAAAAGAGTTAGAGAGTGAGAAAGGATATGCTTTGTCCTGTTTAAATTCCCTCCTTGTTTGTACCTACTGAGCTCATTGTATACGAGATTTTCTGGACCTCCCAACTCTTCACTCCTATGAGATTTTTAGATAGCTGCATGATTATTTATGCAGATAAGGGGAGGCCTTCTAGCAAAATTTTTTCCAGGACCCATCCACCCACCCCTGGGGTGTGTGTGAGTGTGTGTGTGTCTGTCTGTCTGTCTGTTTTTTCTTGCCCATTGTATTCTGAGTGGGGACCTTGTACGGGTTAATTAACTTGACTGAAAGGCACTCACCAAAGTGTCTGGAGCGGACTTTGCCTGGGAGTTTTGTCATTAATGGTAGCTCTCTGAAGGAGAAGAGGATCTAAGCTGTGTGTTTCCCTGACTTCTTCCAACAGCACAATGGCCCTCCCCAAGAAGAAGCTTCAAGGGCTCGTGGCTGCAACTGTCACACCTATGACTGAGACTGGGTAAATATTACTTTGAGACATAAAGGGTTGTCTTTATATATAGCCTAATGGGGATATCAGTCAGTCAATACTTATTAAGTGCCTACTATGTGCCAGGTGTACTACTCGCTGGGGATATAAAAGGAGGCAAAAGCCAGTCCCTGCCTTCAAGCAGCTCACAGTCTAATGGGGGGAGAGGGGAGGAGGGAGAGAAGGGGGCACACAACTATGTACAAACAAGTTATATACAGGATAAATAGGAAATAATTAACAGAGGGAAGGCTCTGGGATTAAGAGGGATTGAGAAGGGCTTCCCGTAGAAAGTAGGATTTTAGCTGAGACCTGAAAGAAGCCAGAAGGCAGAGATGAGGAGAGAGAGTGGTCCAGAAATGGGGGACAGCCAGAGAAAAAGCCAGGAGTCAAAAGATGGAGTGTCTTGTTCATGGATCAGCCAGGAGGCCAGTGTCACTGGAATGAAGAGTACCTGGCCCCAAATAAAGCATAAGAAGACTGCAAAGGTAGGAAGGGGCTAGGTAATGAAGAGCTTTGATCCCAAACAGGATTTTGTATTTGATCCTGAAGGCAACAGGGAGCCACTGGAGTTTGAGTTGGAGGAATGGCATGGTCAGACCTGCATTTTAGGAAAATCATTTTAGTGGCTGAATGGAGGTTGAATTGGAGTGGGGAGAGACTTGAGGCAGGCAGACCTCCCCCCCCCCACCAGCAGGCTATTGCAGTAATCAAGGGGTGAGGTGATGGGGGCCTGAACTAGGGTGGGGGCAATCTCAGAGGAGAGAAAGGATGAGCAAATTGGAGAGATATTGCAAAGATGATATCAACAGGACTTGAAAACAGATTGGATATAGATGATGAGAGATGGCCGTTGAGTATCCCTAGCTATTGCCGTTTCTATTGTCTAAATAACTAATCCAGACCAGAAAATACAATATCCCATCCTAAACTCTCCTACCCAGCCCCTGGCCCAAGACAAAGTTTATAGAAGTCTTATGTCAGAGCTTGATCTACAGGAATATATACATGTTCTTCCTCAGGTCTTGCATGATAAAGCCAGGCTTTAAAACTGGATCCTCTGACTGCAAATCCAGCATCCTTAGATCATTATGCAATTGAAGACAATGACAAAGAAGTTTATGTAGCACTTTAATGTTTGTAAAGCACTTTATTTATTATTTGAAATCTGTCTCCTCCATTTTAACAGATGAAGAAAGTGAGGCTCAGAGAGATTAGGTGATTTGCCCCTAGAAAGAAGGAAAGATACAAGCATTTATTAAGTGCCTACTATGTGCCAGACACTTTGCTAAGGGTCTTACAAATATTTCATTTGATAATGCTCACACAGCTGATAAATATCAAAGACAGGAGTTATGAATTGGTATATCCATTCCAGATACCAATATGGAATTATTTAAGGAAAATAAATAGAGATTGAATTTAAACCCAGTCCATCCTGACTCCCAAGTTCAGTAGACCAAATAATGTTCTTTCTCTGAAAGAGGAAAGGAACGGCAAGTAAGGGAGCCAAAGGGATGAGTTAGATGAGTCCCTTCAGTTGTGACTAAGTGGTATAATTAAAATCAATTTATTATGTTTGTTATCAATTAATAATAATATTTGTTCAGTTAAACTCCATTTTTGGCACTAACAAAACTAACAGCTGAGTAATCACCATACCAGCTGTTAATTCCTCATAATATTAGCAGAATTATCTAATATTGTATATATGGGTTGACATTTTGGAATGTGCTAGTGGTTTACCGTTGATCAGTCAGTAAGGCAGTCATGTGATTCATCTGACTAAAGCCAGTACAGACATATTAATATATGTGTCTGCTGGTAAATGTTTAACAACTGGCTCTCCAGAAAAAAAAAAATACCTAGGACTCTAAATTTAATCTGCATTATTAACATCTAATCTATCATTTTCTTTGGTCTACAATCAATCGAGCCCTGATTTGTAGTGATTGCCAATTTCAGAGGTATATGCTCACACTCGAAATTTAGTAGTTGGCTCCCAAGATGGTTCAGGCTGACTCTACCACACCCCTATGTATCCCCCAGTAAAATGTAAACATATGTCTTTAGGTCAGGGACTATTACATTTTTTTTATGTATCCTCCGGCTTTGTTTTGGGCTTTGTATACTCATCACCTATCACAGTGACTTGCATTAATTAAGGTTATGCTTAATAAGTGCTAGTGAATTGAATTAGACTGCATAAAATCAGAAGCCTCCTAGTAACATGTGAGAGCAGTGTAGTATCTTGGGATGTTAGATGGGGAGTCAGGAGACCTAAGTTCTACGTTTAGCTTAGTTCTCCAGTTTAACAGTGCCAATGATCTTGAGTAGGTTCTTTACTCTCTTAGTCTTTTCCCCTATTTGTCAAATAAAGAGGTAGGACTAGTACTTTCTCAAGTCCCTTCTAGCTCTGGTTTTCTATGTTTTACTGTTCTATTTAGAAATTGATCCTATCGAGTCAGTTCTCAGTTTATCTGTGTAGCTCAGATCTTACTCAAGGGCCTCGGGGGACATACTTCCAAGGCTCACTGGAATCACAGAATGATAGACCCTAGGGGCCATCCATTCCAGCTACCTCCTATTAGTTGCCCTTAAAGGCAATGTGATATGCCTCAATTCAAGTATCTAGGACAGTGAAAAGTGAACATACTATTGGACAGGCACAAAATGAAAACAGAATTCTTGCTGAGGATATGGCATTTCTGTGTCTACAGCTGGTTAATACAAAACTTGTCTGCTTCTCCACCTTCCCATGAGTTATATGGATAAAGCCTGAAATCATCTGTTTCTCAATGTGTTTAGGCCTTTGTTGGGCAGATAAGATAAAAAACATGTGACTGAAAGAATTTACAGTTTTTACATCCTGTTATGGGAGATTCTTTTGCAAGCTGAAGAGCCACATCTGGTGGATGTTACTTTAACCTTTTTAAACTGTCCTCCTTTTAGCTTGGAAACAGCTTTTAAAAAGTTCTTATTCTATTTATCTTGCAAACTATTGAGAATATTGGTATGTTTTTCCACCTCATATGTCCAACAAAATATTATTATTATTAAGCCTTAATCACTGAATGGGCTTTGCCTCAAACTGAGATCTGTTGAAGACCTGAGCTTGAAAAGGCCAAGATCCCCCACTGCATCCTGAGCCACCTCCAGTTGTCCTGATCTATATCTGGCCACTGGAACCAAATGGCTCCAGAAGAGAAAGTGAGGCTGTTGACTTTGCACAACCCTCCCTCACTTAAATCCAATTCACTTATAAGTATGGCATTGCCTTCCTGATGTCATGGTCCTCTTAGAGAACGAAGGACAAATAGCAGCAAGCGACAAAACCCCCTGAAAGTAACTATTTTTCTCCCATGAGTCCATCTCCTTTTGCCCAACACCCAGGGCTCAGCTCTGCCCTCTACAGGCTACTCTTTCTCCCTTCCTTTCCACCACTGATTCATCCTGTTTCCCTCTACTTCTGGACTCAGAGTTCTTAACCTAGAGTTTGTGAATGAAAAAAAAAATGTTGATAACTGTATTATAGTATAATTATTCTCCTTCATGATCTTATGTATTTGATTTTACGTATTTGAAAACATGATTCTGAGCAGGAGTCTGTAGACTTCAGCAGATACTGCCAGAGGGGTCCACGAAACAGTCAAGCTGAAGTGCCCCTACTCTAACCAGATGTGCTTAGTACAGAAACAAGCAGGCCTGGGCTACCTCAGAAGGCAACCAGGCATTTGTCCACGGCCCAGCCAAAGGGATTGACCTTTTTATACTCTGTGTACCATGGACTGGTTTTCAGTGCCTATCGGAAGGGAACAAAATTCCCCTCCTTTAGATAATTACCTTGAGGAGCTCACACCTCTATGAGACAAAGAAGCGTGTGCAATTGTGAGATCATGAAGTCCATTATTGTGACATCATGGGAAGAACACTGGACCAGGGTTCAGCAAACCCAAGTTCAAATCCTAGCTCTAACATTCGCTAGTTGTGTAACTTTGGACAAGTCACTTAATTTCCCTGAGCCTCAGTTTTCTCACCTTGAAATGAGGGCATTAGAATAGAATTAGAAGGGCCCTTCCAGCACCTGCATGCCATGATTCTCTGGCTAGTAGCCAGATTCCCCGAAGTGTGTTTTATCCTTATTAACAGGTCAAGGAAAAGTACCTTTGCACCTCCTTATTCAAGAAAAAGTAGAAACTATTAGCTTTCCTAGAATGGGTCTGTATTAGTAGAAAGTCCCCTGAATTTGGAGAGAAAAGACCCTAGGTTCCAATCTTAGTTCAACCTCTTAATACCTGAGTAATACTTCATCTCTCTGGACCTCAGTTTCCTCATTTGTCAAATGAGGGAGGTTCACACTACATACCATGATAAGCTCTAGTGGATATAGAATTAAGATGTATAAGGTCACGACATAAACATATTCGAGGAAAAAAGGAAGATAATGCCATTAGCAGCTGTCGATAGGGAGAAGATCACAGAAGATAAAATAGACAACTTTGATTACATAAAATTCAGAGATTAGTGAAGAGGCAAATACCTACCTCCTAACAGGTGTTAGACTCGAGGTGCAGAATAAGATACATTTTCAGACACAGCCATTGTAGGGATTTGTTTCACTTAGCTATGAAAGGAGACAGACAGAGGGAAGGAGAGGAAGGAAGAAAGGAAGAAAAGTCATGGAAGCATTTTTTAATGAACAAAAGGGAACAGAAGGAAGGATAGGTAGAATAAAAAACAAGTTGTAAACTTTGAAAGTTACTTGTTGAATTTATTATATTTCTTAAAAGAAAAGCAAGTTGTACGTAACAGATCTGTAGTTTCATGTACAATCTTTTTTGTTCCACTATGTTTATGGAAATACTTGTTTTATTTGGGATTTGTTCAATTCAGAATAAAAACTTTTTTTAAAAAATTGAATGAAGGAAGCTAGATTAGGTCCCCTCCAGCTCTAAATACCCAATCCTATGATCAGCTGTTTGCCTGGAAAA